GGTCGTGGGTGGTACTACAAACAAAAGTACGGCGGTGGCGGCGGGCACAAGCGACCACATCCCAGACACCGACGAGTTCGCTCACGACCGCCGCAGCGACGGTGGCAACCGCATGGGTAACGCTCCTCCGCACGAACCACCTTCGCACGGCCGTGCGTCGTGCTCTGCTTACACCATGTGCTCGCGCGTTGGCAGAGGAAGAGTTCGAAACAGAGCCGCAGCGCTACGGCGGCAGCGGCAGCGGCAGCGGCCGAGCGGCCGTGCGTGGCACGCAGGAGCAGCTGAAGCGGACGCTCGTCTCGCTGGACGGTCGAGGCTACGCAGCATACAAGGACATCATAGGTCTCTATGCTTTCTGCGTGGCACACACGCACACATCGCCACCGCACACGGCACACGGCACACGGCACACGGCACACGCCAACGCAATCGAGATTGACTGTGGAGGGCAGGCAGCTATGATTGTGGCTTTTTCACGCTTCTGGTGGACCACATTCAGTCGGACCCGTTCGCTCCGCCGTCCCACTTCCGCGCGCAGGTCCCGCACAAGGTGGCCCAGTTCCCGCCGGAGACCTACTCGACCGCCACCAGGTAAACAACAACAGCAACACCACCACTCGCCATGCGCGTATCATGACAACACACACACACAGGGCCGTAGCTCTGGCGGACTTCTTGACCCGAGTGTTCTATCGCCACGTACACGAGCACCGGTACGAGGCCACAACCCGCTCTTGCCAATCAACCGAACGGCTGATAGTCTCTCTCTGGTGTGTCGTGTGTCGTGCGTGTTCGGGGGCACAGGCACGATGTGCGGACGGCGAGCGGCGGATGGGGAGGAGCCAAGGGCGGCGAACTGCAGATCGACAAGCCCAGCCAGCACGTCCTCCCTCGTACCTCGGTCATCGTCACGCCCGCCCACATCGAAGTGCGCTTCACCGTCGCTCTCCCAGGTTCTGTCGCGTTTTCCTCGACACACGACACGACACGACACGACACGACACACTCACTTATTCGTGAGTCAGCCCAGGGTCGTTCGATCATGGTGAGTGGCGCCACCATTGTCACGGAGAACGTACCACGGATCGTCCGCGGCACG